ACTGAGCACGCAAGTAGGAGAACAGGCCTTTCTTGTCTGCACAGAGGGCCAGGATATATTCCTGGGACAGTTACTTCATTCTCCATGTTTACTTCATCTTTGGGCAGAGAACAATGCAATGGTTAAGCAAAGTCTAACACAAAATTAGTTCATTTTCCTAACCCACCTATGAATTCTATCCATTAAATTAATGATTTTTGATTTTATTTTCCTTGCAATTTTTTTAAATTTTTTTTTCATTGAAATATTAGTAGGTGTTACCATATATTATCTTAGTCAAACAGGTCTTGAAAAGGAAAACAAATTGCCCTGCTACATGACTTCAGATTCTTAAATATGGAGGTTTCTCCATCCCTACATCATTTTTTAAAAAACTGCCATTCAAAGTTTATTTTTAGGCTTTGGCATTTGATAGAAAGTGTTCCAGTTTTATAGCTTTGTCAATTACTAGTTTTGCAATATTAGAAGCAATTTTTAATCCTCAATTCCTTACTGTAAAGAGAGATTTAAAAAACATTGTGTATTTGTTGAGAGGAGTAAAAGAGAATTCTGTGATATGCCTACCATTCAATATATGGAGCATACTGCTTCCTTCCTTATTAGTGTTATTTTAAATAGAAACCAAATTACAAGTTATATAACACAGAGTTAAAATGGGCTTCTTATAACATTTTAGTTCATCATAAGACAGTGTCAGGCAATTAAATCTCTGTCACCAAAAACCCACTTGCCCCTTGGTCATATCTGTATCATTAAATAACTCTATAGAGATCTGCATGTTTAGACTAAGTCTCCTACATCATTGCTGTCCAAAATCAGGTGCTAGTGCCAAAAGACATTCATTAATCACAGTGTCCAAGTGCATTTATCTGTAGGTTTTACCTGGCCAAATAGCTTTTTGGTACTCCAACAGTCAATTGTTTTGAGTTTTATTCAGGGAAGAGCACAACTATAATTTCAGTGAAGAATGAGTCTTTTCCTGGCAATTGGCTTCGGTAGGCAAGAGTTAACTACCTTTAGAGTTAGAGGGTATCTCTTTAAATTTAAATGAATTAGAGCATAGGGGTTATCTTGGCCCAAGAATAAATGCCACGGAAATTAAAGAAAATAATTCTAATGCCAAGAAACAGCAAAGGTCAGATAGGGTGAGATGATTACTCTCCTCATTATTAACATTGCTTTGCATTTAGATAGCCCCTTTCCTTTGCCAGTCTCATTCTCATTCTGCCTTATTGCTCAGGGTCTGAGCAGCTTGTGGAGCTCCTAATGACATCACAGATGATCCCGAGTGGAACAGAAGCCAAAAAGTCAAGAGGGCAATGAGCAATTAACCTTTAGGCTTTATTTGTTCATTTTGTTCTTCTTGAACACAACATGCAAAAAAAATGGGTATTAAGTAATACCTATAAAACTTAAATCCTCTTCTGGAAATTCTAATTGTACTTGTTTTTAAGATTTTTGTTTTTTTAAATATAAATCTTTAATTATAACAATGGTGTGAGGGGTATCTTTGTATACATGTTAGGAAAGTTTGGCTATTTGTTGCCAGAGCCAGATAATACTAAATATTAGCCCCAAAAGTGCTAATATTTGTAAAGAAAAATTCAAATTAAAATAAGAGGTTTGACTTTCCCTGTTGAAAATAAAAAAACTCCTCCCCCTGTCTTTTCTTAAAGCATTTACTTTGGAGAACTTAGAATTTGTAAATAATTTCCTCTCTTTTTGAAATATATATAAATCCTTTTTGAAACCAAGATAGGACTTTCATAAACCTTATGACCCAGGATGTCTTTCTCAAGGACCAGGGAACCATCTCTTAGAACTGTAAACATTAAGGAAAATAGCACCCATATCTCCCAGTAAGAAGATGGGAGCCAGGCATAGTGTGAGCCTTGCTTCAAAGTACAAAATTACCTCCTGTCATAAAGACATAAGAAGCTAATTTTTCTACTGGATGAAACCAATAAGCTAACACAGATGGTCACCCCAATTACCAGGTGGATCTAGGATATGTGACAAATGGTGCTGTCATGCCGTCTTACTTGAAGACCAGTTATTGCTAATCTTGAAAACATATATATAATGGGCTTCATCTGCTTGGATATATAAAAGGGTGAGATTTCTTTCTGTCTTTGCAATCTTTTCTTTATTGCCTGTGATGTGCATCACATTCTGAGTTTAATGCTTATTCAATGATAAAAGTATTTCTTTATCTACCACCTTGATAGAGAAGATTTGGGGATTGGGAGAAGATTTTGTTTTCAATCCTATTTCCCCAGCATACAATTGTGCTTTACTTGGAAAAATGGATACCAGAAGATAACCGAATACCCTATCATTTGTTCTTAACCATAATATACACTAGTTCATCTGATCAATACATTCAGAGATTCTGCCAATACATGTTTGGGGCAAAGTTGTAGAATCCACATATTCTAACTATCCAATGTGATTCTGTTGCAAATTTATAAATGAACACTTTACCATCATTTTTAAAGATTCTCCATATGATAAGCACTTCTACTTGCTATCCTAGTCACTCTTTGGTTGTTCAATATGTTTTATTCRCACATCCATGTACATATAACTGGAACATAGCTAAATCTTCTCTGCTGAGCAAACTTTCTACATCTTAGCTTTCTCCCCACACATCACAGGAACAGGTCTTGATCACCCTTCCTAGTTTCATGGGCCTCTGGCCCCATTCCTCTGAAGGCCACCAGCTCCCACTGCTTGAGGAGGGGACAATGATTAGCACCTCTCACTCCTTCTGCCTGTTTCTTCATTGTTCCTTCTCTCCTAAATCAAAGAAACAGCTGGAACTTTGCCAAGGTTGACTCCCCTACCTGCATCACTCATCTCTTCTGTATTTTCTTTGTTCTTTTCATCAATTATTTCCTTATTAGTATTTCCAATCTCCGAATGCTTTCCCATCACTCAGGAGTCTCTAGTCTCAAATACACTTTTCTCATTTCAATTTGTGATTCAGATTGATTGTCGTTTTCCTTTACCATAAAAGTTGTCTATATCATCTTTTTGAAGCCCTTTATTTTTCTGTCCTCTATTAATTGCCCACATAGCAACAAGGAATTCTACTCTCACATAGCTATCTTCAGTTGTGCCTTTCTCAGACTTAGGTACATATTTCCTACTATTGGATAGAAGTTGCCACTATACTTTCTTTCTTAAAAACAAACAAACAAACAAACAAAAAACACCTATAAGCTATATGATTTCCAAACCCAAACCTCCTTTCTAAAGCATGCAAGTGTCCTATATTTTTGGTGTCATCTAACAGTATCAACACCCAGTTGTTCAAATTCAATGCATCCTCTGGTCTTCCCCTCCTCTTATCTCTCCCAATCCAATCCCTCTCAAGTCCTGCTGAGTCCAGCTTGAGGACCTCATGAACTTGCCTCCTTCTCCTGCTCCTACCAACCCTGCCTTCATAGTCAGTTTGTTCCTAGTCTCTTCTTTGTTTTTTCACTTTTCCCACTGTCTGTTTTCTAAAAAAAAAAAAAAAAAAAAACATGAGCACATTCAACCTCTTAAAATGTATCTTTAAAAAAGACCCAGTGGCTCTCCAAGGTCTACAAAATAAAAGCAGAACACTGTCATTACATGGTATGATAGACAAAGCATTCTTGCCAAAACACTTGAACCTGCATTTACCCAAGCCTCTAGCTCTATACACAGACAAAAGGGAATGTGCTGAATGATACCATGGGTTTGCAATCAGTGAAATCCAGTCTCAGAAATATATTGAACAAGCAACCAAATGAGAGGCAACTTAGCTGAGTATTAGCAAATACCAAGAAATTATTAAAAATATTGGGTGTATACATGAAGTAAATTTCTTGTCCATCAGATATATACACTGAAGTATGAATAATAAATTTCCTTTAAAATATTCCATGGATGGAAGTGATGAGGAAAGAGAGAGAAAATAAAATTTATAAATGTTGATCATTGATAAAGGTAGATGATAAGTATGAGGGCTTTAAAAAAATCTCTATTTTTATATGCTTGAATTTTCCATAATAAAACAAGTAAAAAAAGAATTAGTTTATGATATTCAGAACCATTAATGATTCTTAGCACACTTTATAATCTTACCTTTAAGTGCTCCCCACCATGACTTCTATTTTACTTCACAGGCCACAAACTTGGACTTGGTCTGGGCTTAGGACATCATTCAGAAACAAGCTAGGATTTATTCTGAGGTAGAAATCTCACTTGTAACTCCCTGCCCTTTGCTCCACGCAGGTGTGCTATTGTGCTAGCATGCTCCAAGCACAGGACTTAGGCAGATTTAGAGAAAGTACAGTATGGCCAAAGGTATTCAGTTCGCACGACAGACATGGAAAAGTAGTTTCTGATTCCCTAATCTTTATTTTATAACTGTTGAATCATGGTTCTATAACTCTAGTTAATATAAAATGACAAATACTTTAATGCAATGTGCAGAACTTTCTCACTGAGTGCAGATTTTAGGAAGCTGGGGAATATGTCCACCAATAGGGTCAGAATCTCATGTCTGTCACAACTTAATGGGTTTCTGTGAAATTCATTCTGTAGCTGACCTGTGTACTTTGATGATGACCAACATTTCATTGACAGAGTATTTTGAAGGTGTCACATAATATTTCACAGTCATTTTCTTACCCATTATTCTTAAATAAATCTAGTTGCAGATAAAAACGTCCTCCAGCAAATTTTTGAATGAAATTAGCCTCTCCCAATTTCACTACCTATGAGTCAATATTTTTTACATTTGTGAACAGCCATTATAATAATATTAACTTTGATGAACACTTTGTATGTTAATGTGGGTATAAATTACAACTCCAGAAAAATGTCTCTTGTCATTTGCATTTGTTAATATCTGCTTAATATAAAAGGAGAGACCCCCATCTTCCCTATGTATTTAAATGATTTACTGTTTTAACATAATCACTCCTTTCAGAAGCAATTAGTGCATAGATTAGGTTCCAACTTACCAGGAAATCTACTGTGGAGGTTGGCATCACAGTTGTAACCATTGAACTGAGCAGACACCGGAAGCACTCTAATTGTTAGAAGCAGCAGCAACCATATTTGTTCCATTGCAGCACCTAGAAAAGAGTTATTTATGATGTGGATTTCACCAGCCTTCACTCCAAGGTGCTGGAAGGACTGAGGCTGATCTCAATGTACTTTTGGATAAGGGTGTCATGCACAGAAAGCAAAAAGAAAATAAAATTATAAAGTTTTACTCAAATAGCCATGTAGTCAAAGCTCACCGAAGGCTTCATGAATTATCAGAAATAATTAACAAAAACAAAAGCACAGATTTTGGTTATGATATTTTAATATTATTTTCATTATTCAGCTTCAGTTTGCTAAGGSTAAGAAAGTCTGACATTTGTACTAGAAAAACTAAGGTATAAATCATAATGTCTGAAACAGAAAAAAGGTATTATAAATAGGAAGAACTCAAACCAAACATCTGGCAGCACAGTGAGGCAGACTCACCAATTTAGAGACAGCTGGTCATTTGTAATATCAACATACTTAAGGTCAGAGGATTCCAACACTCAACCCACAGTTCTAAGAGAATTTTCAATCTTTTCATGACCAAGTAATATTTWAAAAAAATCTCTTAGCAAAGGAATTCAAAACGACTCCAGCCTCTCAAAATTCAATGGTTTGGGTATAATTTTCTCAGGAAATACATGGGTAAATCAAAAGGGAGACCAGGAAAAAAAGTATGGGTGAAGATGAGAATCTTTTAATAATGGCTCTTGATGAGCAATAAGGTCTGATGTGAATGTGTGAAAACATGGAACTCAGGAAAAAGTGATGGAAATTGGTTTTAAAGATGTTGMTGTAGGTTGGACAAATAAATGGAAATTATCTTTAATCCTTAAAATACCAGTCAGTCTCATACTTAGTAAGTTTTTCCTGGATGCCCTTTTATTGGCCTGATTAGTTAAAACACTTTCCAGAAGGGCAAAACTTGCTCTCACAGCATAGTTTGTGTGCTGGAAAAAAGTCTTTCAGGTTGGTAGTTTGGTCTATGCATAAAAACAAGAAGAAAATAAAATTGTAAAGGTTTATGCAAACAATTGAGTGCATCTTAAAAGCTTGGGTTTTAGGGTGAAAATGGTATTTTAGCTGTCATTAAAGATCTGCCCTGAATAATTAATCAAGTCTTTAGCAAAAGGAAGGAAATATATCTTGCTTCTGTGTCATCATTTTAGAATAGCAAGTTCATGGTGAACAAAGTCACGTTGGTGAGGATGTGGGAAAGGAAGGCAGGAGTTTACTCTCAAAAATAGACTGAAAAAAATAATGTCAACAGGAGCTTGCTTCCTTCAGCATTATAACATACTTCTCAGTCATAAGTGTAATGACTTTGGGAAGAACATACATAACTCTGGTTAGTTCTGAGCTCCTGGGACAGTCTATAAACAGGAGGCTCACACAAATGGCTGACCCACACCTGTGTTCTGTTGACCACATCTATACCATCATTGTCTAGCTTCTCAAGACACTGAAAATAAAATAAGACAGCCCTGACATTTTGTTGTCTCTGGAAGATTGCTAGGAAGAGAGCAACTTGGTTCTGAATACTGCACCCACACATATCTAGTATCTACTCCATACCCTACCACTGCTCCTTATGATGGGTCCCAATTATCCCCAGAAGATGCTGGAGTTTCTAGACTCTCATGCTCCCTCTCCCTATCCCACTATGAATCAGCCTCCTTATATAGCTGGGTCTTATATTAGACAAAGGTGCCAAAAACATGCATCGGAGAAAAAATAGCCTCTTCAACAAATGGTGCTGGGAAAACTGGAAATCCATATGCAACAAAATGAAAATAAACCCCTATCTCTCACCATGCAAAAAACTCAACTCAAAGTAGATCAAGGACCTAGGAATAAAACCAGAGACTCTGCAACTAATAGGAGAAAAAGTAGGCCCTAATCTACATCATGTGGGATTAGGCCCTAACTTCCTTAATAAGACTCCTTTGGCACAAGAATTAAAATCAAGAATCAATAAATGGAATGGACTCAAACTAAAACGTTTCTTCTCAGCAAAAGAAATCATCTTTGACGTGAATAGAGAGCCTACATTTTGCAAGCAAATCTTTACCCATCATACATCAGATAAAGCACTAATCTCTAGGGTATATAAAGAACTCAAAAAGCTAAACACTGAAAAAAAAAAACACCTAATCAATAAATGGGCCAAGGACCTGAAGAGACACTTCTCAGAAGATAATGTACAATCAATCAACAAATATATGAAAAAATGCTCAACACCTCTAGCAATTAGAGAAATGCAAGTCAAAACCACTCTAAGATTTTATCTCACTTCAGTCAGAATGGCAGCTATTATGAAGACAAAGAACAATAAGTGTTGGCAAGGATGTGGGGGAAAAGGTACACTCATACATTGCTGGTGGGACTGCAAACTAATGCAACCAATAYGGAAAAAAGTATGGAGATTTTTTTGAAAATTGGGAATAAATGGAATTTTTAAAAGACATTCCCATCTCTTATTTGGGCAGGATTAATATTTTGGTTCTATATAATGTTTGCAGTATTTGTGGCATTTTCAGTTAATACATTTAACTTGTATTCTACCTACAAGTTACAACAAAGTGATAAAAGTAATAAACTACTAACTTGAAAATTTCCCATGTTCAACCTTACTTCCATCATTTTTTCTCTATATAGAAAACTCAGGTATGGATAAATAGCAGCAAACTTGGAGACACCACCTTACCAAAGTTCCTTTTTTTTTCCTGAAATAAAAATAATTGCTTAGGACTTTAGGACAATCTTGAGACTCTTTACACTCATCAAAGCATATTGTCCTGGTTACTCCTAGTTCGTAGGTGCAGTTATAGACACACCTATTCCAATCTCAACCTGGCCAAAAAGCTTAGTGATACACTGATTTCTGTGGTCTACTCTGGGGTGACCTGAGAAACTCATTTCCCCTCCCTCCCACCCTCGTGGCTCCAGCAATTATTAAAGAATCTCAGCTGAAGCATTTCCCATCTACTCCACTGTATCTAAATGTAGCAACCAATACCCCTACTTGGGTGCAAACAGTGGTGTTTACAAGACTTCCTAACACAGCCAATATTATACAATATTAATAACATTTTTAGATAATACCTTGAAGATATGTGTACATAGGGTTTTGTTTATCTTACTTAGTATCTTCATGAATTTAAATTGATGAGTATAGAGCATAAGAAGAGGATGGTATATAAGTTGTTGAATTTTTAAAAATTCAGAAGTGTTGACTTAAAGAGACAACCACATCTCTTAAACTGTTACTGATAGGCACTGTGCTTTATATTTAGCAACATGAAGGAAGTCATATGCTAAGAGATTTGCTGTCAAATAGGATATCATTTCTCATTCAAATTTCCTTTTCCAAAGATAACTTCTTCCAAAATATGATTTTTAAATTTATTTATTTAGGATTGAATTTGGAGTCTGAAAAATATAATTTTACTTCCAACTCTCACTCACTAAATTTTGTACACATTAATACAGTTCTGTTATAAATACTGTTCTCTATTTTATTATAACCTTTTAACCTTCTTTTAATTGAGATTTATTGTATATCAGGCACAGTGCTATGCTTAATATTCAACTACTACACAGATTTTATTTTTGCTCACACTATTAATATGAAAGCTGAAGTTTAAAGGTTTTAATTGAGTTGCCGAGGGTCACAGACCTACTAAATGGCAGAGCAGAATTCAAAACTGAGCTTGACCTTTGGAATTATTACACTACTCTGTTTGACTTCATTGGAGTTTGTTAAATAAATAAAATGAATGCCATGCTAATTTTCAGAAAGTAAATTATATGAAAAATGTAGGGTTTAAATATGCTTTGAACTAAATGATTCAGATGACTGTGGCAAAATATTTTTAATATCTACATAAGTGTCACGACTCTATCTCATTTAGGCTATGAGTGCATAAAGAATATGCTTCTTTCCACAAACTGATTTTATGATAACACCAGTGATGTTTAAGGACTGACCAGAATGTTTTAAGGATTTCATACCTATTTTATAACCATGAAACAGGTAATTTGTTCTCCTTATTCTGTGAGAAAGAAAACAAAGGTCCTGAAAAGTTAAAGAAATTTCCCAGGTCTAAGCATCCAACTCATGTGAAAAGCAGGATTTATGGCCAGACAGGGCCAGAAAGCACCCCAACCATATGTGAAACTGCCTTCCAGAAAATGATGCATGCAGCACTGATCAAATGGAAATTTGATATTTACTTGGTGAATTGATTAATGTAGATTTATTCTTGCATCCAGTTATTAACTAATTACTGAATGCACTGTCAAGGGGGCAGAAGTGTAGCAATTAGAAAAGTTTTCATATGTGTAGAACTTACATTCCAGTAAAAGAAGTCAGAAAGTAGCAAACTCCATAAGTTAAATATAGAGTGTATTTGTGATAAATGCTGTGAACAAAAATAAAACAAGAAAAATAATAGGATGATCTGGGGTGGAAGGGAAGGAGTATTGAAATTTCACCTGGGATAGTCAGAGATCTATAATCAATTCATATAAATAAATCTTGGGAGAAAAATCTTCAGATATAAGCCAMTAAATCTTCTGTCTTCAATTTGTACCTCACCTTTTTTTTTCCCTCCTATTTAGGCACTTCCCAAATAAAAAGATTTTTTCAGTGCATAAATTGTTCTCTGGGAATAACTTAGACACTTTGGAAAGCTGCATTAACCTTTTTAAATGGATAAAGGTGGCTCTTAGTGCCTGAGAAAAGTAATTTATTAAATAGAACCCCTGTGACCTGAAAGAAAAGTGAACATGTTCAAAAGTATCTTTATCTACTCAAGAAATAACTTTTGCTGAGACAAATAGACTCAACAATTTATCAAGGTTTCATGCTCCCTTAATAGTATTGCCTTCGTCTAGGACAATATATAGGATACTGTTACGAGTCCAGAGGAAAAATGCCAAATTCAAACCAAACATCATTCCTTTTCCATTTTTTTCCTTTTTGTTAATTCATTGTAATTATACAAAATAGTGGGATTTGTTGTTACATA